TAAACGTCTGTACGCCAACAAACAACGCCTTAACCCTGGACTTACATCCCTAAATAGTTCTTTACGTGTGTGAGCAATTAATTGCTGGTGAATCCCATAAAACAATGGTATGTTATCAGTTCACTACTAAAATTGTCTTTGATCGAGGGAGATACACCGAAAAGATTCCGATGGTCAGTGCTATCTCATGGTGAGTACAAAGGAATTACGACTTTTAATGACAAAAGATGAGAAAGGAAGGAAAACAAAAGAAGACGAACACTTTGGAATAATAATAATAATAATAATAATAATAATAATAATAATAATAATAATAATAAAGAAGAGGAAGAAGAATTAAGAATCTAAAAGAAGAAGAATTTAAAATCAAAAAGTAAGGAGCCCTGAAAGAAATAAAAAAGTGGGCCAGAGGAAAAATGTGGCACCTTAAAACTACTATTATGTTTTTATAGTAATTAGAGCCCTGGGTACGATAAAAGGAAACGATAAATGCAAAAAACAAATTGCCTGGTAACCGCTTTTTTTTTTTTTTTTTAGAATAGATTAAGAAATATAACCGTGTTGAACTGATAATTTACCCAGAAGAGTTTTATCACAAAGAAAATATATAAGTAATATAAAAAGAAATATAAAAAGAAATATAAAAAGAAATATATAGACATTGTATAAGTTCAGTTCATGTATCACTTAAATTCAGAATTTGTGCAAACAGAATTCAGGTGATGATTGTAAGGGATTGTACTAAAAATAGAAACAAGAGAAGATGATGTTATTATTACTGTTATTATTATTATTATTATTATTATTATTATTATTATTATTATAAAATACAAAAAATAAAAAATAAAAAATTATTTATTTATTATTATATTTATTTATTCTTTATTATTATATTTATTTATTATTATTAAAAAATTATTTCTTCTTATTATTATTATTATCATAAAATACAAAAAATAAATAAAATACAATAAAACTAAAAATAAAATACAATAAAATAAAAATACAATAAAACAAAATACAATAAAATAAAAAAATACAAAAAAAAAATTTGCCCAGAAGAGTTTTTATCAAAAAGAAAATATAAAAGAAATATAAAAAAAATATAAAAGAAATATAAAAAAGAAATCTAAAAAGAAATCTAAAAAGAAATCTAAAAAGAAATCTAAAAGAAATATAAAAAAAAAATAAAAAGAAATATAAAAAGAAATATAAAAAGAAATATAAAAAATCTAAAAAAGAAATATAAAAAGAAATATAAAAAGAAATATAAAAGAAATATAAAAAAAATATAAAAGAAATCTAAAAAGAAATAAAAAAAGAAATATAAAAAGAAATCTAAAAAAATCTAAAAAGAAATCTAAAAGAAATATAAAAAAAATATAAAAAAAATATAAAAAAAAATATAAAAAAAATCTAAAAGAAATAAAAAGAAATATAAAAAAGAAATATAAAAAGAAATATAAAAAAATCTAAAAAGAAATATAAAAGAAATATAAAAAGAAATCTAAAAAGAAATATAAAAAGAAATATAAAAAGAAATCTAAAAAGAAATCTAAAAAGAAATATAAAAAGAAATATAAAAAGAAATATAAAAAGAAATATAAAAAGAAATATATAGACATTGTATAAGTTCAGTTCATGTATCACTTAAATTCAGAATTTGTGCAAACAGAATTCAGGTGATGATTGTAAGGGATTGTACTAAAAATAGAAACAAGAGAAGATGATGTTACTATTACTGTTATTATTATTATTATTATTATTATTATTAGTAGTAGTAGTAGTAGTAGTAGTAGTAGTAAGTAGTAGTATTTACTTTAGGAACAAATGAAGAGATTTCATGTCAGAAGTAGGCGAGATAAAGGGGGAAGAGAGCAAGAATCATAATTGTAAAGATGTAGAAAAAGAAACTGTATGAAAGTTAACTTAGTTCGCTGCGAATGTTTTTTCCTGATTAGAATTTTATAGCAAAATTCTTACATTTTCTCTGGCTATTCAATATATTTTTAAAATGCATTTTAAAAATGAGAAATCTTTCATGAAGCTTTTATTTTTAGTTTTAATTACAAACTAATAGATTAAGTTATTATTTCCAAAAAGCAAAATACTTTGCTGAATTTCAAACCGAATTTGGAATGAGTATTTTGATTTTCGAAATTGGTAATATATCTAAAAATCAGTCTTATTGACAAATCTGTCAACACAACACAATTCTTCTTATTAGAAAATCATCCAAAAATAAAATGTACTTTTCTAAAACTTTATTTGGGGAAGATTAACTGATTTAAATTTTAATTAATATGAATTAAAACCTATGTTTAATTTAAAATAACTCATAAAATAATTTTCTAACAGAATGACAGGTATTTTTAGGAAGTTTTGACAAAGTTATCGATAGTTTAATGTCTGATGTTTTTAAGTAAGGGGTGCTTAACTGTAAAAATTTTTTTGTCGAAAACAACGTGAACACCATTTTTACATAATTTTTAATTATCCACTAATCTTAGAAATTTAAGTAATATTTTAAGTAATCTAATATTTTACTGAATTTTAGGTACTTTGGCTTTCTAGTCTTACGAATTCGCTTGTTGAGGAAATGTTAGAAAATTACCAATAAATTTTAAATTCACTATAGTCACCGCTCTTATTATCAGACAATGTCGTGTATGGACGCCCGTATTTACAAAAACTGGCACTTTAATACACACACACACATACACACACAAAGTTCAAAATTATATTTAAAATACTGGTATTCGGTGAATTGTAGTAAGCTTTTCCATTTATAATTAGTAAATATAGTTTTTACTTAATAATATCACCTAACCTATATAAATTAATACAGAATTTTAAAAAATTAAAACTCTATGAATCATTATAATTAAATTCAAACAAATAAAAACAATGCTTGCCAAATTTCCTAATTAATCAAAAAGATTTTTTTTTTAAGACAATAGTGTCCATAATAATAATTTTTCATAAAAGCGATTAAATCTTTTTTATTTGAATAATGTCTTAGTTTTATTGCATTTTTATTTTACGATTCAGGGCCGATTTTTTTGTAACAGGGGTCAATGTTTTACAAAAAATAACTGATGATTTCCAAGGAGTTCTGAGCATAACTAATATAAGTATTAAAATGAATTTCTCGAAATTTCATAAAATTAAAAAAAATAGGGAGGGTGGTAACAGACATAAAAAATATTTCTACTAAGATTTTCTAAAAAAGAATCATTTCAAAAATATTTCCATTTGTAAATAAGTCCTGAACGTTTAATTAAAATACAACTAGTATTTGATTATTGTAAGATTTTTCAAATCAATGTTTTTCATCGCAAAAAGAAAAAAAAATGTTCTTTCCTCTTAATAATAGCATAAACATTTTGACGATAAAACATTGTTTTTTATTATGTTTTAGGCATTTTTTTTTCATTCTGTATGCTCATTTTTATCGAACTTTTGGAGGTATCTATTTTGAATCATTTCAACATATTCAGCTTTGATGACATTCACCAGGTAAAAATTAATCGATGTTCGTAGTAAATTAGGTATCAGCACTTTTTCTCTAAAAAAAAAAAAGAGCATACCAGATGAGAAAGAAATCAAATTTGATGAAAATAAAAGTTTTATCGTCAAAACATTCATGTTATTAATACGAGGAAAGACCAAAGTATTTTTCATAATTTTCATAATTTTTTTTATAATCCTTTATAAAACATTCGAAATTTTGATTAAAAATCTTGTTTTTCTTGCGTTATCCGTTTTGAGATGGGTGACCAAAGTTAGTATTAGAAATTTTTAGCGTCTTTTTTGCATTGATAGACACATTAATTTGGAATTTTTTGCAAAAATCAAATAATTGTCAGATTTTAATGAAACTTCCGGAACTAATGACGAATGAAATTATTTTAGAAATGTTATTTTTTAGAAAGTCTTGGTAAAAAAATATTTTTTTGTATCTGCTTACCCACCCCACTTACTTACTTTCATAAAAACTCGAGAATTTCAACGTTGTAAATTTTATTGATTATATTAGTTAAAAGCGGAATCTGTGAAAAATATAATTTATCCATTTTTTTGTAAAATCCAATTACCCACTTACCGAAAATCAGCTCAGTAATGTCACATACAAAACCCAATAAAACTAAGATATTATTAAATTAGAAAAGCTTTTATGAATAATGTCTGAAGCAGAACAAAAACATTACAATGGATTTTTACAAGAATTGTTTTCTATTTTACAATATTAATTACAATAATTCACAAAGTTAAATCTTTTAAAATTCAGTTTCAATCTTGTCAATTTTAGGAGACACTGCTTTAAATAAAACTATTTTTACTAATCATAAATCTAAAAGATTATTACAATCTGCAAATGCCCAGTATTTAAAAAAGAATTCTACATTGTTTCTGTATGTGTATAAATATGCTTATATATATATATATATATATATATATATATATATATATATATATATATATATATATATATTCATATATGATCTTATCATTAAAAAAAAGTCACGTGTTTTAAGAGTTGCTTAAAATTTCCTGAGATAATATAAAATTAATAATAAATAAAATACCATAAAATTTCATTAGAGATGTTGGTAAAATTATAGGTACCTCTCTTATGAAATTTTATGTTGCATTGTATACTATCTTACTTATGAACTTTTATAAAACTATTTTTACTAATCATAAATCTAAAAGATTATTACAATCTGCAAATGCCCAGTATTTAAAAAAATTCTTCTACATTGTTTCTGTATGTGTATAAATATGTTTATATATATATATATATATATATATATATATATATATATATATATATATATATATATATATTTCATACATGATCTTATCATTAAAAGTCACGTGTTTTAAGAGTTGCTTAAAATTTCCTGAGATAATATAAAAATTAATAATAAATAAAATACCGTAAAATTTCATCAGAGATGTTGGTAAAATTATAGGTACCTCTCTTATTTATGAAA